TATAGTAGATTTACACTGGCAGTGTATTAATAGCTTTGGTAAATACAAACATTATAGTCAGCTTTAACATACAATCAGCAGTAAGCTTTGAATGCTCTGTATTCTCTATTCTTGTCACAGCAATGCTGCAATTCAAATAGACTTTAATACAACATATCAGATACTTTCCATCATACATACAGCTTGAAACATCAGAAAAATGGTGTGAAAACATGAGGTTATGCTGAAAGATCAGTCTGTATAAATATTTGTATTTTAATTTAGTGTGTTTCTTTCTGACATGGGTGGGAATACATTTTTTTTTGCAGAAAGGAGAAGTAACAGCGAAATTCTTGTCCCGCTGAATTCAGTGAGATTTTATCCCACCACACAGGGACCAGTCATGTAGAATAAGGATTCCTTATTTCGAGTCACTGACAATATCACCTTCGTGAACTGGAGAAGGACCTCTACTACTACAAATGCTTCATTTCTCTGTAATATGGTTGAAATTTTTACTCAACTTATACATTTTTCTTTGCTATCGTTAGCCTCCTTTATTAACTACCTGAATTTCCAGACATTAGATACGTGTCCATTGCTTGTTCAGGGGTTCTTTAGTTTTCTGTCTTATATGAACTGCTGCTGTGAAGCTTCTGCATCTTCTAAACATACAAAGCTTTCTTATGTGAAGAACTGAGAAATTTTAGAAAATGCAGTGAACAGCTCTTAATACATTTAATGTGAGGTCTCTTTTGGGGTGTATTTACCAGAATTTTTTGATTGGACTGGCACATGCAACGAATTCAAACACCTCATATAATTCAAATAATTTGTTGTCTGCAGTTATCTTCAGCAAATACACTTTGATTTCTCCAAATGGCAATATCTATTTTGTTTGATGAAAAACTGCTCTCCAGCTCTATTGGCATCTAATTACCTTCTCTCCCTCTGTATCTTTTTACTGATTTACATCTTAGCTCAGTGTTTCCTAGATTCTGTGAGGAACGTTTGCAGGCTGTAGCTAGTGGTGCCTAGCTACTTATCCTGCAGCTATAAATGTTTCAGCACCTTGTCTGCATTCCTTGCTGAAAGGGAACAGTCTTTTTTATTTTCCTGTCCTGGTGTTCCCCCAGTGATCCCTAGATTTGCTTTGAGAGAAAAATCGCTGTTGATATTCTGAGAGATCCTATGGTACTATTTTTAATAGCCCCCCAAAGTGAATTGGTCCTGTTGTTCTAAAAAGAAAAAAAAATATTCAAAATTATCTAGACTAGCGGCTGATTAAATACTCCTTGGGACTGCATTAATGTGCAATGGCACACAGGACCTCAGAAAAACCTGGAATGGTAGAGGCCAAGCCCCAGAAAAAAAATGCGTACCAAGTCCAGTAATGGGTGGCCAGATGCACATTTGGAACTGACTGCTTTGGACAGAATTACTCTGCTGAGCTGTAATGCTGCTACAGGGGCTGGCAATGGCAAACAGTCATTTTTGTGCAGGGAAAGACTGTACAGGTATCCTCCAAAAAATTAGAAGAAACTGAGTTCCAGTTGTTAAGGCAGAATGGTATAATGGTTGAATCTGTGAAGCCTGTTTTGAGAGTTTGACAAGAAGAGACGGTTTAAAAAGATTTGTTTCCTTTTGCAAACAATGATTTTTTTTTTTCAGGGAGAAAATTTGAAAGCTTTCTGGACCCACTCTTGAAGCTCACCAATATAATCAGAATCATTATGTTTAACTCTTGTCATTTCCATGTCTGCTTAAAAAATGCACTCCTACAGGATCATATTTATCCTCTCTTCCAACTCCAGCAAATATTGGTCATTTTGATGCACAGCTTTCCTGTACATCACTGAAAATGATTTATGCTTCTAAACATGGGCCAGTGGCTTTCTGTGCAAAGAGGCATTCAACAAGCTTTCCCAGGGCATTAATTCATCAGGACAAAACTGAGTTGCCTGAGGGATCGTCCTTCTGCTCCCTTGTTTAGCACTAAATTTAACTAACTAGAGAGTTTGCAATACTTTTTTTAGACTTGTTTTCTGTGAAAATGTGGCATATGTGATCACTCTGTAAATCAGTCTCAGCTCAGGTTGGTCAGGTTGGATCAAATTTGACACAGGATTGGAAGTCCAAAGCTAAAACCTTTGTGAAAATTAGTTCTTGGCTGGCAGAGAGGGACAGAGTATCTTCACTGATAGAAATAAATAAATACTTAAGTAAATGGCCAGTCCTTTGCCATAGGGTAGGCAGTAGGGATCCAGATGGGAGCCTGGGGGACTGCAAGCAGGAATTAGGCACCAGTGAGCTGCAGGACAACAGGCCACAGCAGCGGAGAGACCTGCGATAAAAGTATGGGGGGGGAAAAGAAACTGTTTCCTTAATTCTCCTATTCAGGAAGCAAATTGTAAAAATCATTTAATCATCAGTGATGAAAAGCTATGACTGCCAGACGAGACGTCTCAGTGTTGTACATAATGTTTGTTTTAGCACAGCATGTTGCTTGCAGAAGGATGTTTTGCTAATTAGTCCTAAAAGTTATAGGAAGTTTGTAATGCACTCTTTTTACAACTAAATTGAATGACTCAAGACAGTAGAGTTATTGTATGAGTAAAAAATAGCAGGATCAGGCTGTGAGAGCCTGCCAGTCATCAGATGTCATGAGCTTTCTTCATTACAAAGCAAAATTTGTCCTAAAAAAACCAACCAAACAGAAAATCTCCACAAACCATCTCTTCTCTCTGTTCAGTGTGCTTGAGTCATTTCTAAATACACAAAGCCCTGGAACCAAAAAGGACACTGTAAAAAAATAAACTAACTGAAAGCATAGCTCTTGCCAGAGTCACTGCTCTGCAAATATTCGAAGTGGCTCATTACCGATAGGGAAGCTGTTGCTGTACACTTCGACTGTCAGTTTAGATGAACAGGGAAAATGGGATAAAGAGATTTAATTAAGCTACTAAGAAGGGATATAGTGGATGACCAGTAGTGGCATTCAGTTCAGATTTAGGGGAAGCAATGACACAAAGTCTGGAGTTGACTGAACTGACAAGAGTTGTCTGAGCTCCACTGAACTCATGTTGTACCACCAGCAAGTCTGGCCTCTATAGTTCCAATGTGGACAGTTATTCTGTCTCAGTCCACCACATAATTAAAAAACTCACACACCCCCCAAAAGAGACACTAATTCAGGCTCTCCTGTGCATCAGATATGACACAGTTGTCTACTTATAATCATCAGGCTCAAGTTGCAAAAACCAGAATTTCATGACTGGGGAGGGAGACAGGAATTTTTTCCCCGTTTCCCTCACACCTTCCTCTAAAGTAGATTTTCTTTAACAGCCAAACTTACATTACATGGTTCTGAGTATATGAAAGGGGACAAGAGGCTGGTAGTCCTCTGTAGGTCCTGTTAGCACTGGAGGAAAGATTTTTGGTGTTCCCACACCTTGTGTGGGAGATGCAGCAGAGTTCAAGTCACCCCATTTGTTCTCTCTTCAGAGGAAATATTTACATTTTTATTGAACTGGAGTGTCAGGTGTCTTCAGTCTTACAGCTAAGATTAGTGAATTCTCCAACACTTGTCATAGAAAAATAAAACCAGATTCCTTTTTCAAAAGTGGTAAAAAGGTTAAAATAGCAAAATATCTTAGAAGGAAACAGGTGCATAATATCAAAATATTTGAGCCCTGCTAGTGCTGGCTTTTGTACATTTTATACTGCACTAACCACAGAATACAACGTGGTTTTGCAATGGTACATTACAAAAAATATCTTAAGCATTTAGTAAATTTGGCACAATTTTGATATTCTTTGGTTAAAATGCACACATACAGGGATTTAAGATTCAAAATCAAAGCTATCGGGATTCTAAGAATAATTCCATAACTCCGAGGAGTCCATCTCCTTCAGGTACTGTGAAAAGACTGATTGAAAAGACAAAAATATCCCATTTCTTCACTTGGGTCCTCAGAGTCTTTTCTTGTTCAGAGCTGTCTTGTCTTACAGCATTTTTGTGGCCAATGTCAATAATGAATACTGGAGTCCAGGAACTTTCCAAGCTTTGGTGCCAAGAAGTGAGCACAAGTGATCAGCAACAGTGTCTTGAAAGCAGAGTTGTAGATGACTTTATATGTATGTACACACATATATAGATCAAAACACAGGAAAAAACATATCGAGTTGAGCAGAGCTCATCAGTGTCTTATTTGTTATGGTGTATTTCTCCCCCTCTAATTTCAGTAGTCCCGGGTACCATCGCAGCTGGGGACGAGCAGGTGCAGAGAACAATTATCCTATTTCCAGAGTTAATCGTGGGCTTCAATTACGAAGCCAACTTACCATTACTGTCAATTCTTAGGCAAGGAATAAGATCTTTTCATGTGACCCACCGTGATTAATCTATTTATTTATTTATAATAAAGCATCGATGGTTGGTGTAATTCTCTTACCTAGCACAATGCAAAGGCTATACAGAAGCCATACAGAGGGAGACATCAATATAAGCCAGTGGGATGCAGATGAGCAAACTTCTTTACAGTGGCAGTCTTACGGTTGCATGTATAAAAGATTTATCAGTATCTGCACCAGAACTGAATTCCTCTCCCTGCAAAAATCCAAAATCCTGCTGGCAGGCATTCAAGAGAATTTTCCAATGCAAAATAAATAAATAAATACTCAGGCAAAAATATCTTACATGAAAAAAATCTAGCTGAGCTCCGTTGTTTCAAAAGGCCTGCTCAAACCAAGATGTTTTACCTTTTAATATCTATCTATTTATGCATGCATGCAGGGAACCTACTATCTAATTGGAATCATATTTGTAAGTCTACTGACTACTGTATACTACATTGTAAATTCCAACATTCTGCAGTTCTCCAACTGCCATGCAGAGCAAGTTAGAAATAAATCCTTCATTCTTACATTTTCCATGTTTTCCAACAGTTTTATTTCTTTGAACTGTTTTTGACTTTTATATATATAAAATTAAAAAAAAAAATCCCAATCTAAATCCCCAAACAAACAAAATGAACTCCCCTGTGCCAAAAAAATTACACATTTAAGGGGAGAGGGGAGATATCTGGGCTACAAAGCTACATCAGCTTTATCTAGTTTAATGTTTGTTCTGTGGCCATTTGAAATTCAATTTCAGTTAGTTCTGTATCATATCAGCATAGGATGCATCATTAACTCTGGGAGGATGTTTTCCATTGGCATCTGCTATTTTCACCAAATGTCAAGGCTTGGCATTTGCTATCTTTATCTGGTCTTGGTGTATCATTCATACTGAGACTTTGTTTCTTCTTATCTGATATTGATTTCAACTGTGACCAGCTGTGTTGCTAATAAAATCAACAGGCGAGTATCTGGCATTTAGCTCTTCACCAGTAGAGGAAAAGAAACAACCCAGTGACAAAAAAAGTAAAGAGATACTTTTCAATTAGGATGCTTGCCTGTACCCTGATATTATCCATCTCTTCGCGCTTCTGTTGATGTAGCGTTTCTGATTGATTCCCTTGGGGAAGTCTCCATGGAAATCCTTGCCTCTCAGATGAAATACTCCTTTTTGCTCTCATCCACTGCTTCCTGGAGAGCGGGGTCATTTTTTAAAGCAGCATCTGCGCTTTCAGCAAACTCAGTTCCTTTTGCCTCATTGGTGTGGTAGGTGCCCTTATGCCTGTACATGTACCGGACCATCACTACCAGCAGGCAGATGAGGACAAATACCACTGCAGCAATCACACCTAGAGGAAAGAGACCAGTTAAATTAAAACACCAGTTAAATGTATCGTCAGTAATAAAATACAAGCAGTACCTCACAGCCAGGCGTCACAACTTGAATGACTTCTTAGGGAAAAGTCCATGTATCATAAGATGTTCGCATGTTGCAGAGGCCAGGTCAGAACAGAGTCTGACACTGCAGAAACTACTCTTTAGCTTTCTTTCAAATCAACGGCTTGACTTTGTTGAACTCACTGGAGCTAAAAGTTCATTACAAAATGAGGAGAAATAAACATAAAGGAAAACCAACAGGTTTCTTTCATCCTTCTGGTAACATATACCCCGGGAAGTTTGCAGGCAACCTGACCCTGCCTTCGTGAGCATACTCAGTTTTGGAGTACAGGACACTGAGTATTTCTTCGGAGACATTCAACAAATAGCAGGAGCCATGTGAGTGCAGTATTGCTCTGTATTTGCAAGCTGCCATTTCATGCTGTGTTCTAATTAAGAAAGTCTGATGATAATAAATGTGAAAGTGACACCTGGGAGGAGGAAGGGAGTCTGGGTAGATCTTCTCTGTCTCTTGGACTAAGGCTAATTACTAGCAATGTGTTGACTGGACAAAAATTTCCGTAGGTAACCCAGATGTGCATAGGCCTAAATGGTGAATGGAAGCACTCCTAGTGAAGGAAAGTAAATCCAAGTTCTGGGGTGGCTGTGCAGAGAACACTGTGTGTCCTTACTTCTCAGAGCCCTTTCCTTTTTTTCCTTTTCTACCGCGAAAGGTAGGAGTCCATAAAAGAGAGGCACTTTTGACAAGTCAATTGCTAAAAAATTACAAGCTGTATCCCCTTACCTCCAGATGAAATTGTTCACTTAAGGATCCTGAAAATAAATGAAGTATTTTGGAGTTTATTCAACTTGTGTGATTTTTTTTTTTTTAACACTTTTTGGATACAACTGGGATGTGCTTATAAACTCTTTAGCTGTGATTCTGCACAAGTACATCATACCGAGCTGATTCTATATTTACATGACTCAAGGAGTAAACAAACATTAAGAAAATACAGAATAAAAAAGCACCAGAAGAGCACATTCCTAAGAAAATCCCATATGTGGAGTGTGAAGCTGTTGACTCATTGTAGGCATCTACAGTTCCGGAGGCTCCATCTAAGTTACTCCCCTTGGGCTTTCCCCTTGGGCTTTCCCCTATTGAGATTCAGCTGGACAGGGTCCTGGGCCATCTTGTCTAGACTGTGTTTTTGCCATGAAAGGCTGGACCAGATGATCCCTGAGGTTCCTTCTGACCTGGTTTTCTATGATTCCTCTGTCCTCAGTGGACGGCATGTACATGTATGATTCCCCTTCTAGAACTGAATTCCTACATTTGGTGAGATGAATCACTCCCTGGAAATGCCTGCTATTCTTCAGAGACAATGATGGGTATGTAGACAGTATCTCTCTTCTGTCCCCTGTGTTCAGGATATGTGGCAGGAGTGGGCATCTCCAAAGCTTTAGGTTTATCAGCATCAGTAAACTGAGTGGGGATACCCTATTGGTATGAGAACAGGGGAATGAACAGAACATTAGCAGAGTAAATAAAAATGATAACTCTGTCTTAAAAAATATGTCCACTATGTTATCCTGCAGATTTTATCGTGCCTGGTTCTGGAAAGTGAAGTTTTTGCTAGCAGAAATGAAATTGCTTATACAAAGAACTTTAGGTTTACAATAATATCATAGTTGCAGTGGGGGCTTCATCAATTTTTAGGACCTCACTGGTATCCCTTGACACAAGAGGCTTTAATAGGCTTTGGATGTAGCACAATATTAATAAGCCTAAGGGACTAAGTACAAATCAATTTACCTGCTACTTGTTCATAGAAAGCTGAAATTAAAGTTATGGGAGATGGGACCTGAGGGAAATATAGCAGAACCTCACCAATTTGCACTAATGATTGGTATACCCCCATGTGAATGACTGAAATTAGTGCGTTAGCATGGAAATGAACAAACACAATAAAAATAAAAAGACAGGTTCTTTCTGTGAACATAGCTTTGCTCATTTATTCTGACAACTGTATTTAGTTTAAATGCACGAGAGAGCTTTAACGGAACACCAGGAAATGCACTGCGGCATATTCTGTAAAAATAAAGGGTCAGGTGGTATGGGCTAGCATGGCTCAAATCAAAGGTTCTACACCAGTTTTCTATTAAATGACAATCTTGGCCCAGTGAATAATGAAGATCAGAGGTTGACTTTGCTGCTGGACTCTTCGGTATTTTGTCTTAAAATGAGGAAATGGATGGGGGTGATACTGCTCACTATATGGTTTATGCTCATTATCTCATCTCGTTATCTTGCCAATAGCCCCTCTGGGAGCAGATTTCCCACTGGCCTAATTAACTCTAATTGTGCCGCTCCCATTGTCTTGTCAGCAAAGTAGGGGTTTTGCAAAATGCAAAGCATCAACCAGCCTGCTGTTTTAATTCTAATGGTGCTGCTTAGTACAGCCTGCTACTTACCTCCAATAACAGCCACATCTGTTCCAGCTGTGGGGCTCTCGATGTCTCCATCTATAAATAGATTAGAACATACAAAAGTTAATTAAAGAAAAAAGAATTGGATCATATGTAACAGCAGTGACTGTACTGGTGGTGCTGTATTATTTTAACCTCTGAAACTCAGAATTTAAACAAGATCTCTTGTTAGCAAAAGACATTTATGAAACATCTCATTAGAATTAGCTGTACTGTAACAGTTTTCTGTCACCGTAACACTGGAAAATAAATAGCTAGCACATTATGCAAACTACCGTGGCCCTCAGGGAAACACCTACTGTTTATTATGAGCACTTACCTGTAACATCTTCCAGTGAATGATTAAATTAAGAGCGTTCAGGTACTGTGATTACTCTCAGAAAGGCAGTTTTGGGGAAAAATGTTGGTGTCTATTTATTTTCCCATTTATGGCTCTTCAGAGTATGGTCTGGATCTTGATTTAATGCAAATTAATTTGGCTCTCTTGTTTTCAATTAGTATTTATTTATCTGCAATATCCCGGTTTTTATCTTAGCATTTGTTTTCTTTTAAACCTGCATTTGGAATCAAGGCGAGCTTGCTATGTGTGTGGTATAAAACACAGTTGTCACTTAGAGTAATTCTGAATTCGGTGCTGATAAAGCAAATTACGTTCTTTACTGGATTATAATTTATAAAGAAGTATAACTTTGCAATTTAAAAGCAAAGGAGAAGTACCTGACCATGTCCTTTTAAGAAGTAAGAAATTGGTCTGAAAAGTTCTAACCTGCTGAAAGAGCAATTAGAATTTGATTACATTTTGATCTTAATTATAGCACTTACTAAAAATATCCCAAACAAATAATGAATAGCCAAAGTGTTTAAATGGGAGAGGAAAATAAAATCCTAAAAAACAGTGAGGATCTCCTCTCTGTATCTGTTACAGACCTTAAGTGAAAGTAAATTCATATAAACAAATGTTTCTTCACTAGCTTCTCTGTAGTTGATTAGGGTACATTTTTGATCTTGTTTTCTGCTCCTTATTTCATGCCATTGGTATCAGCCCACTTAGTCCTGAATTATGTGGGTATCTGAGAAAGCAACGAACCCCTTCAGTTTTTCCATGCTAGGTTTATGACAGGACACTCCTTTGTTTATGACTGTGCTATTTATACAATTCTAAACTATATTGGTTCTGAATAAGGCAAATAACTTTATGTGAGGCCTTTTTAAATTTCCCTTTGGCAAATACAGTGAATAGAAAAGTTATCTCGAAAAGGTAAAAATTCTAATTCCAAATCCTTCTATAAATTCAACAGTGGCAGTATGGCTGATACCTGGGTCTCCTTTTGCTAAATCTGTGATAGATGATACAAGGACAAGACACTTTCAGCAGCTTTCTCCTTACTCATGTCCAGTCTCTTATATCAAATTGCAATAGAGAGGAGAGCTGAGATTTAAAGGATCCCCCTCTTCCCAAACATGGGAGGTGCTTTTTCTGGAAAGTAGGAGTCCTTTCCTCTCACCCAGAGATCCTTCCCACATTTTCTTCCAGCTATACACTGATGGAAAGATTGAGCACGCTTGGTGTAATTTAAAAACTCTAATTATGTCTACGTCCATTCAAAACCCATGTGCCTCAGGAGAGATTAATTGCTTCAAGGTCAAACTGTTCTGTATTTCTTTATACACCAAACATATGCAGCATGCCAAAAAAGCAGGCTCCTCTACAGCAATCAAATACTTGAAGGTGTGAATTCTAAAGTGCTTCCCTAGCCACACAGCTTGCTTCCAAACATTAATTCCAGATCAAATCATTATCCCTTTAATTATAAAAAGGTATGTGAGTAACTCTCTTCTCTTTCCTGTCATTCCCAGGTGCCTCTCAGATTCAGATAACAAGCAGGTGCCTTATCTCTAGTACTTGCCACCAAAGTGCTTTTTGATAATGGATTACGGTATTGGCACTTTGCAAAAAAGTTTTCATTTCCATACTGTACTTTCTAAGTTTTCAGAAGAATGCTGGACCCATCTTGAGCTACCATGTAGCCAGCACTGATCTGTTAAGCTGACGATGCTTCAACAGCCCACTAATGCCGTGATGTGGTTTCCCTCACCACAGTTCCCATTTTACTGCAAGCACGAGAGTCTGAATTCTCTCGTGTGTGTCAACTTTCTACCACAGAACGTGCTTGCTCTCCTCTCAACTGGCCTTGTGCTGCATCATCCGAAGTGCCAGGACACTACAGCTACCACCAACAACCAGAAACTTCCAGGGTCTGCTCCCCAGAACAAGAGCAGTGGAGGGGAGAGAGGGACTTGCAATGCCAGTCTCAAAGTCCCTGAAATTTCACTTTGGCCAAAAATAGCTATGTGATTCATGGCAATATCACAATACTGCTAGGCAGGGGGGAAGGTATCAGTGTCATTCAAGATTCAAGCAGTGTAACCCTTCACGAAACATGACTGAGGAAAATGCAAGGCATGTGCTTATGAAATGAAGCCATCTTCCCAGAGCAGGGGTGAGAGAACAGCCATTCCAGATGGGAATCCATGCTTGGCCAGGAGCCTCAGCACGTTCTCTTCAACTTCATCTCAGTCTATGTGAGAAACACACCGCACTACTGAATCTTCACTTTCTGAGGCAGAAAATACATCCAACATATGGGAGGAATTTTTAGCTGAGCAATGTCTGTAGGCTTTGGCCTTCTTGTACCTTCTTTATTCCGCTCTTCTTCACGTGCAGAGCACTCAGAGGTCTGTGTTTCAGTTTCTTGTACCTGTTTCAGTTATTTTCCTTTGTTTCAAGGACACCTTTTGTGTTATCTGCTGCTAAACTGTCCTTGCAAAACTTCCTCTCACTGTTATACTGGCCCTTGTTCATAGCCACAATCTGGTCCCGAAAGTATTTAGGAAGTGTTGTTATTTAGTGCCATTGGTTACCATGACATGCAGAAATCAAAAGATTGTGGGACAACTTGTTTTTCATAAAATCTCTGGCCCTCAGAATGACTTGGCTAAATCAAGAACAGAACATACAAATCAAATTGCCTGTTGGTGGAAAGTACACTTCTAAAAGCCAGAATGAAGGGAAAGAAATGCCTTTGTGCTATGACCTGAAATTCATCAAATTTCAGTTCTGCCCATAAACTTACAGATAAGGAATTTTGCAATAGAACGACAATTGGTACCTGTCTCATTCTCATCAATCAAATCACGCTGAGAAGGCAGCTGCCTCTGAAAGCCCCAGGAATATTCCTGACTTAAATAGTGCAAGCAGATCTCTGGCTTTACGCTTCAAAGATGAAAAGCCAGTATAACTAGCTTTTATGTTAATGTAGCCAGTGGTGAGTTTTTCCTGATAAATTTGTCAGTAAATTTGTTAAACCATCTCCTTAAGGTGCAATTTTCCAATAAAACTTGACTTTTATTAATTTTGATAGTTTTTGTCTAGTTTAAACTGATCTCATTCCATTTTGGCTGAGGAGCACTTGTTTGAAGGAGGCTGGTCCAGCAGTGAAATGTTTGAGGTTCAGCACTCTCCTTGTTTTGCTATGCACTTCTCCTGGCAGTTGCAATGGTTTCTTTTGTTCTTTAAATTACAAATCTGAACCACTAAAAGCCAAAAGTCACTTTCTGCTCAAAAATTATGACACTGGCTTTAAAATAATTTAAAACTTTTTTTATTCACCCTTTCTTTCATACCTGATCTTCATTCAGGTCTTATTTTCCAACCCTTCTCTACAATACCAAAGATAAAATGCGCTTTGTAGATGAAAACTGAGGTTTTGCAATGATATTACGACACCAGGAAACAGGTCTTTAAGAACAATACAATGTATTATAAGAGTCCTGATAAAGATGCAAGGCTTATTAGTGAGCTACTTTAGAAGCATAACCATGTTAAGACGTCCAAACTGACAAGCCATTCAATTTTCATGATGATGGGAAGGGGCGTATTTGTTCCCCAAATACTTTCTCCCATCCAGCATAGAAAGCAAGATTTTAGATCCTGCTACTTGCAGAAAACAATACCTTAACATGCTTCTGTGGCTACTGTCAGTGACACATAGGATAAATTCGCAGAGGTTCATGCTTTCTAATTTTTCAGGCATCATTTTCACTTGCTAAAGGAGTTTCCAGAAAAAAATCCGGTACTTGCACCCTTAGTGGTTTTACAGTCGGCATTGTAGTTAGCAATTTAAGTACCTACATGTTTGCTCGTTACACATTTACACATGGAAAAGGCATGAAAGGAAAACTGTACCCACAAAGGGGTCCCCATTTGGCACATTTGATATGAATGCATGGGAATTGTCCTACAGGATAGATCTAATCTACTGGTGTGAAGTATCAAATCTCTGTAATCCACAAGGGCAATTTGATGGGATAACACAGACCTTACCCCAAACCCCTCGGTGTTTCTCTCATTTCCTAAGATAAAGCTCCAAACTAAAACTGGACAAGTACTTACAGCTACTTACTACCTTACAAAGCAGTGTTGAATATAGAAAGAAAAGCCTGAGGTTACAGCTCATGTTGTCACGATTTCCTTGCAGCTGGGGGTGATACAGCTGTTTTGGAGTGGGTGAGTCAAGCTGAGTGAGTGTACAGATATCTATGTGATAAGCAGCTTTTACAACACAGTTTTCAAAGCCACTTAACACCAGTCAGGCAGCACTGCTCCCACTCCTGCCTTTCAGGATTTTCCTACCCACAAGCTTGTGCTTTCCATTCTTAGCAACCTAAGCCATCCCTTATCATGATGCTCCATTACTGCCTGCTTGTGGTTACAATCTCAGATGAAGCCTTGGCTGCTGAATTACACTCAAGTAGGTCTCTAAGTGCCTTCTTGGGCAACCCGTTTTCTCTCCTGATGTGCCTGTTATTGCATAAGAAGTGCTTGAAATTCATTCAGTCCCTGTGAATGATGAGCTGAGCTCCTTAGGGCAGTCTTTTTCTTCTTAGGTCTTTCCTAGGTGTGCAGACTAGGAAACGCACTGCCAGATTTCATCTTTAATCAGCTCACCTAGCCACCTTATGAAAAACACGGCTGC